CAACAAAAATGAGTTCAATGAGATTTCCACTGATTTTAATTCACTGCGGTAAGCTTATGAGTGACGTCACTAGAGGTTGCTGAGCAATTTTTTTGCATACAACAACATCAGGTGCAAATATAAACTGTCAACTTCCATCTGCCATTGAACATTTCGCAGAGACAAATCGTGGAACGCTTCTGTATAAACGAACCAATAGATCGAAAAAATTCAAAAGCGGACTCGTTTGAGGACAATTCATCACGAAACATCTTGTAGCATTTCATCACGATTGATTGCAGAGACGTTTTACAGAAGACATTTTCAAGGTGCAATGTTAAACAACTTATAGGAGTTACAAAACAGAAAACAGCTGGCCAAATAATCCAAGAGTCTGAAAAATTTTAATTTCAAGAACTATGGTGAAATTTTCTTTCTGAAATATCCTGAAGACTACAGTACATCTCCAGGACGAAACACTTAGTGGTTATTTTAAAACGTACCCGAATAATGGAAGTTTTTTAATTGAAAAACCCCGACTCAGAAACTGCTTCGACGATAAGTAAAAAAAGTCGTGGTTTAATGTCCAAACAGTTCAAGATATTTTTAAAAAACGTTGATTAGTCAGAAACAGATTCAGAAAACAGAACTTTGAAGAAGAATTTCATATTTTGCTTTGTGTAATCTTTTTTTCACTGTAGCCGAAAGAACTGCACTGTAAACTTCAACTCGCAAACTTTATCACGTCGCAGTCAGCTCATTCAGTAACAGTGTTTCTAAGCGTTTCATGCCCATAGTTCGACATTAGCTTCAGACCCAACTTAGATTCAAAACAAAACAAAAAATTTTCCAAGCAGCACTTCTCGTGAAAGTCCTAATTGTTTTGCAGAGTAGACTGCTTCTACAGCAGGCAGACTACAAACTTATACAACTTTAGGTGTGGTAGTAGAGCATGACAGTGCTGTTCGACAGCAACCGGAGGAGCTGTTCAATGCCACTGAAGGTGAAGCCAAAGTGACAATTGGTCTTTTTCTCATTAATTTGGTTATGTATCGCTTTTTGTTACTTTCTCTTCCAGCATATGTTTTAATGCAAAGGTTTTCGTTTCTTAGTCGTTTCATTTTACTTTTGCTTCATTTGATTTAAAGCGTCACGAGAAAGAAATTATAAAAAGAATAGCGACGTTTAAGATTAGGTTTGTATTCAGTTCTGTTTTGTTCAACTTGTAGTGATTAACCGTAAAGTAAGTTAGTATTTCGCCAAACATATAACTTTGCTAAGAGGAACAAACGAGGATTGCGGAAATTTGATAAGATGTAGATAGCACTTAGTATTTAAATAATTTCTCATTTAGATTTGCAAGTAAGTAATATTAAATTCCTGAAAATATATCCAAAAAATAATGGCAGAATTTGCTTGGACCATACGTAGCACAGTATTACAGCTGGATTTTTTTATGGTGTTTTTTTTTTTTTTTTTTTTTTTTTTTTTTTTT